AACCATTTTCTGATTTTGCAAGTTCCAAAGAAGCATAATTGTAATACTTACAAGGTGTGCAGGTTGGGAGAATATGATGGAGATCGGAGTTCTGAATCTTCCTGATGATAGCAAGTTAAGCGTCACTAAAAAGATTTAAATGGTGAAAAACAAACACAACATTTTCCAACACCTCACTCAATACCATGACAGAAGTACGAAAAACAGGATGAGATTCCATATGTTCCCCAGTTACGAATGGATGCTGCACATAGTTGAAAGAGTGTAAGAACTTGTTAAGATATAGGGGTTGGCTTGAGCATCGCCAGCCAAATCCAACAAACAAATTGAAGTAGATGTAGACAATATGCAAGATATATTACAGGAAAAGAAACTCAAGAAAAATAATTGAGATTTAATTTACCTGAAGCAACTCAGATGCCACCGACCTCAAATGTGGTTCCCTGCCATAGGACCAAAGTAAACATAAACTCAGAACATCATACATCGATTGACCCATTCCTCTATCTCTCTATCTAGAATGTGAGATTAAATTGATTTCTCCACAAGAATTATATTTATAAAATAAATGGAACAGGTAAATGAAACACATATCTTGGAGAGTGTGAATTCCAATTACAATGATTTAAAAAGACAAGAACAGTAGCATACTTTTGCAGACATTTTAGCAAAAAATCTTTTGCCTCAAAGGAAAGATGCTCAGGGATTGGTGGATGAGACTTTGTTGTCCCTATATGGAAGAGAGCAGCAACCTAGAAAAACAATACCATTAGTGCAACAAGCAAGGGAAAAATTTTCTTAGAAGATTAAAGAATTAGCAGAATAATTACCTCTTGGTACTGTTGGCTCCAAGGAGGCTTTCCAGTGGCCATCTCAATCACAGTACATCCAACACTCCATATATCAGCCGAGCTGGAGAGTTATTCTTATATGTCAATATTCATACTTATCCAGGATAGAAAGAATAGATAATGCAAAATTGTGGTCACTATTTAGGAATCACTACTATAGTGATAACCCAAGATAATAGAGAAATGGCATGTCATAATCGTAGCATGCTTGAAATCAAGTAGATGCTACAATGGTAATAGTTCTTACAAGCTATGACCAGTCTGGAGAATAACTTCAGGAGCCATCCAGTATGGTGTACCCTTCATAGACTTAGCCCCAGAAATGGTTGCCTGCAACACGCACCTCTCAATTTGATAGAAAATGCATTATACATGTAACCAAGCATAAAAATAATAATACAACGCCTCTAAAGAGAAATGAAGCCAAGAAATTTATGTACCAGCTCTACGACCTGTTTGGATGCCCCAAAATCTGCAAGTTTGATGCATCCCTTATTATCAACAAGGATATTTGCTCCCTGAAAGTTAATAGGAGATACGTATTAGGCACTTACAAGAAAAAGGTCAGGAGAAAGTGAGAAACATTCTTTACATGCATATCATTTGCAGTTACGCTGGGGGGGTCCCTACCTTAATGTCCCTGTGCATGATTCCATTTTTGTGTAAATATTCTAGCCCCAATAACAACTGGTTGGTGTAGGTTCTTATAACCTGCTCAAAAAAGATTGTATAGTTTAGAATTTAAAACAAATACAAGATACAAAGTTAAAGATTGTATAGTTTAGAATTTAAAACAAATACAAAACAAATACAAGATACAAAGTTAAAGATTGTATAGTTTAGAATTTAAAACAAATACAAGATACAAAGTTAGTTGGCAAGAACTTACAGCCTCAGGAAAAGATCCAAATTTACCCAAAAGCGATGATATGGATCCACCAGGGACAAATTCCAACAGAATATTTAAGGTGTCCTCTTCCCTCACTGTACCCAAATATCTCTAAAACCCCAAAACAAAGTACAGGGTCAGAAAAGTGTTATACTTCAAGAGCTGATATAGACACAGGGCAGTCCTACTCACAACGATGTTCGGATGAGACAGATTCTTTAGAAGCTTCACTTCTTCCTCAAGCTCCTTGATGTGAGCCTACTTGTAGCGTTAAAACCATTAATCAACAAATTATAAGAAACTAAAAAGATAAGATATCCACTGTAATACTAGGCAAAATCATAAAAAAAAACTGTTTTAGATGTCCAAAAAATACCGAACATTGTTGCAGAAAGTTAAATGTACAAGTATAGATATATAAAACAGAATTCGTAACACTTTTCATACACAACATCCACTCGTACACCTCATCCACCTTAAACAACACGTGCACAAACACCTAAAATAGATGGCAGCTATTCATTAAATTCACTTCCTATGGGCACGTAAAGGCTCACACACTTAGAGTGACACTTGTCCTTGCTCTCCCACACCTGAATAGCACCTAATACTCACCACATCCTGTGAGTACCCAAGAATGGAAGTACGATTCCTTTTATAGCAAGCTAGCATCAATGGGTCTGAAAACTGACCAGCTTTGAAACCTCTCCACAATTCTAGGATCTTTGACTTTGGGCTCATCCAAATATGTGCATTAATGGAAGTGAGAGGTGGTGGAGACTCGATACTGATCCTCAGCAACAAAATCACCATAACTAATGGCATATATAACTTGAAAAACCTAAATGTACAGTAAGACAAGAGTTCAAATCAAACCTGTGCTTTCTCCTTTGAAGCACTATTTGCAGCAATCAGAACCTGCAAAGAAGCAACAACTGTATCAGAATCATACTCTGAACCAAATCCTCGACTAAGCTAGCTATGAAACTATGAAACTAGTAAACTGAAAACTCCAACATAATTCAAAAAACAAACTCGGAAACAATACTTAGCCAAAACCTAACAACGAAAATCAACTCCGAGGCGAAAATTGGGGGGAAATCCAATCTGATTAGAAACAGCTCCAGCACCAACTCCAGATCAAAATCCATATATAGAATCAAGCTTAAAATTTGAAACCCAAAGCAGAGCAGAACAAATTAACAAAACCCAGACGGAATTAACAACCGAAAAGAGCAGAAACAAACTCAGATCCTAAAAACAATGCCGAAAGCAGCAGAAAACTAAATAGAACAAAAAAGTGGACCTGTTTAACAGCAAGAAGCTCTCCGGAATCAAGATTCATTCCCATATACACACGCCCAAAGGCACCGCAGCCGATCAACTCGCCCTTCCGCCACCGGATCGGAGGTGCGTTTTCCTTCGCCATTGCCGGCAATGGAAGCGGCGGCGAGGGCTTCGAGAAGACTCTGGATTTCCGAATGCAGGAATTGATCCTGTCGACTAGGGTTCCTCCTGGGGAGTCCTCGTTCTCCGATGCTGTGCGGAACACCAGTGATCGGCGGACTGATCCGAATATATCTTGCATTTCCTTCTCTGTGAGTGTTTCTGTGGTTTGATTGAGAAAGCGTTTACGTTCTCCTGTTGGTTTGGGGTTTCATTTGGTCGGCAGAGTAGAGTGAGAAACTTTGGAGGAGCGAGAGAGAGAGAGAGAGAGAGAGAGAGAGAGAGAGAGAGGAGAGAGAGAGGAGGGAAAAAGGTGGAGGAGTTTTTTGAAAAATAATAAATGAAAATAAAATAATATGCATTGCCTCCCTAGTTTATTTTTTGTTAAAATTGTACTATATAATTAAGTTTTTCTATTTTGTCTCCCAACAAGAGGACTTACATAAAAACAGATATGACGTCATTGCGGCAAATTCAGGCCAATAGTACAATATCACGTATAAGTTTTTGTACATGACATTAAGACATATAAAACTGAATCTATGTCGTACAAGTTGTTCTTTTCCAACAAAATTAACATGTTTTCTTTTATGTCAGATATCCAAAATATGTATAAAGTTCAATCTTCATCTTTTACGTTTTAAAATAAAAGATAAGAAAATGATGTCCACACTTTTTTTCACTCATTTGCACTCTCGTTTTTTTTCTTTATTTTAAAAATAAATGAGAAAATAAAAGTGTGAAAATTATTATTCTCAGCTAACTGCTGTGTAAGTTCAAACAAAACCAACAAGATCCTCTCTCTAGATCTTTTTGGTGAGGTTCCTGGAGATCTGTGAATCGTGTATACTGTTTGTGTTTAATTTTAAATAAAAATATTTAAAATGATTTCTGACCGCAGGATATACGATGAACGGACACGATTCACGGATTCCCGGATTCTCACAAAAAGGATCCGGATTCCAAACAAAATAATGTTAAATCATTATCCTAAACTCCGGGAGCAATTTGGGTGGGCTCAAACTAAAATCTATTCAAACTCAACCAATAAAGCTAAGGAAAAGTTACTAGGTAAGCCATTGTTTGGTCGGTTTGCTTTATATTATATAAATGGATCATGGGGAGCATATAAGTCATGATGGTTTGCTAGTTAAAACGTTTATTTTCTAATTTTCAATGCATCCAAAATTTGAAAAGATTTGTGATTTAAGGTTAGTGAAGTAAACAATTTAGCCATTGTGTTTTTAATTCGGTAATTTTCTTTGTTATTTTAGTTTATAAATTACAGAAACAAATATAGTTGAATAAGACAGCAAATAAAACATACGTTGCATTATAATCCTTTGCATTTGCTCTCAGTAGCTAATGTAGTTCATTAGTATCAATATAGTCGACATTGATCTTTTGAACTAAAAATAAATACATAAATTTGCTTTTGATATTCATTCACAATTATCTTGTCCTTTAGCCGAGAGAAGGAGGCTCAGCTCAAAAGAAGTAGAGAAAGACTTAAGAAAACTTGGAAATAGACTTTAAAAAGAGATATGGTGTACTTGGAGCTAACGAAACACCTGGCGCAAAACTAAACGCATTGACGTTCTAGAAATCATAAAACCAATCCCACTTAGTGAGATAAGCTTGAGAGATTTTTCAGTGTGATCGGAATACGAAATGGTACACTACGTGTTACTATACAAATGGTAGATATGTATGTTAAAAAGTTAATAACTTAAATATTAAAATTTCTCATCGCTTATATAAAATATATGTGATATCGTACCCGTGTTCCAGTCATAATGAAAAATTTATCAATAAGCTTGGCTATTGTTTGTATCTTGTTCTTTGGAAGCCAATATACCAAACAGAATTACATAAAAGTACACAAGAAATTATATCAAAATAAAAGCAAGGACTACATATATAAATGATGCTGTCTTGGGTCCTTAATCTCAATTTTCCAATGTCCATCAGAAAAATTAGCCTTAGCTGCTTTCACTCTCCTCTTCTTCAAATCTTTATCCATTTTCTTCGTCAAACCACAGTAAGATTTTAGCTCCTTTGGCATCTGATCGTACATTTTCCACCATTTTTCGTGAGCCGAATCGCTCGCGAAGACGCTGCTGCCATTCCCTTCCCAGTTGCAGTCATAATCTTTGTAACACACCCAAGGCTTGAACCCCAAGTAATGTAATGCATACAGGTCCTCAGGCATCTCATGATTTGCAGCTTTTGGTCCCTCAAAATATTTTAGTGCATTTAGCCTCCAAGACAACCTATGCCACCAAGTAAAAATCTCATTCAAAAAACCCTGATCGCCGCCGTTGTATGACTCAATTGTGAACGTTTTTCGCATTAGGTATTCGAACATGCAGTTCGATGGCTCCACGACCATTAAGCCGGAGTTGAACAACATCTTGTTATTCCCCACGGCTGACAGTTGCGGGTGCACGAAGAAACTGTCAATGTTCTTGAGGACTAGAAGGTCCGCGTCGATGAAAATGACCTTGTCATACTTCGTGAGCTGCCACACCCGGAGTTTGCTGTAGTTCCACTCGTTGTAGGATCCTTTTTGCGCAGATGCGCTTCGGATTCTTTGGATTCGCTTGATATTCCATCCGGCCGCGGTTAGGCCTTGGATGGATTTAGGAGTGATGGAGTCGTCTGCAAGGAGGACTAGGTCTTTGGTGGAGTTGGTTTGTCTGATGCTTTGAGCTAGGGCTATTGCACCACATACATAGGCTTCTGAGGAGTGCAGGATTGTGACATAGGCAAGTCTACGCTTCTCGTATGGAATCCATGAGCTTGTTTCCACCATGTATTTTCTCCAGATTTCTCTGCCTGCAACAACAGATTCAAATAATTTACCAGCCTAAATAATTTGTGAAAACTTTTATACAATCAATTAGATAGACTTAAGAGGGCGAGCCTTGGTGCAGTTGCTCGTTTGTGACCAAAAGGTCACGGGTTTAAGTCGTAGAAACAACCTTTTTGCAGAGCAAGAGTAAGGCTGCATATGACTTTCCTCTCCCGATTCCCGCAAAGTAAGGAGCCTTAAGTCAGGTCGTACTTTTTTAATTAGATTTTAAGCCTCCCTAAACTCTCTATTCGTGCCAAATCCCCAAATTGTCAATTTTGTCACAATTTACTATTAATAGTCGATCATGAGTAATGAAAAGGGGAAAGGATCCTCGCTGGATCTTTTCCTAAGAATCTTGTGATCTCACATGTTCATCGTATATTGTGCGATTAGAAATCATTTCAAAATTTAAAATTTAAAATTAAATATGAATAGTACCTAATGAAATCTGACCGCACGATATACGATGAACGGATGAGATCACAGGATCCTTAGGAAAGGGATCCGGCGAGGATCCTTTTCCAATGAAAAGAGCACGTATGTGAACAAAATGGTACATCCACGAAAAGTGAAAAATATTTAGATTTTGATAACTGAGTTGAAAAATTAAGAACTGAAACTTACATTTTTGCTACAAATTCAAAAGCTTCTATTACACAAAATGGACGAAAAAAATCCTCAATTTTGACAGAATAATTGACGTGACTATCGGCAAGAAAACAATGGCACAAACTAAAGTTTAGAGGTAGCGTGCTGTGAACTAAATTGAAATTTCATAAGACAAAGTGGAACACATAGTAACGAACCCATTGTGATTAAACAATTTAAACTAGTAAATAGTTAGTAAATTAGTACCTGTTTCTGCATAACCCGGAGCAATTTGGCAAGATCCAAAAGGCATATGCACCTTTTGTTTCAATCTCCCAATATTAGGCCTATAAACCCAATACTTCCCTCTATGCATCAAGCGATCATCACATCTGAAAATCTCCACCATCGGTCCACAAGCCCCGATAAACACAACATACACCGTCCGATGAGCATCAGGCTTCATCCACGCTCTCCCCACCACGAGATTAGCCACCACCAAATTAACTTGTAATCTAAACACATCCCTAATCCCTTCCTTGTCACTCGTCCTATTTGCTCCACATGGAACCTTGGCCAGTACCACATCGATGCCCTCGTAATTCTCCAGCTTAGGAATTGGGATTTCCGGACACTTTGGTTTCCCCCGTTCCTCGTCTTCGTCAACCCATTCGGGAAAATAATCCTCCCATTTTCGATCCCTAGCTACGCGTTCGAATGCCACTGAGACTGCCTCTACATCTGATAGTCCTCGGAGCTGACGATGAATATGTTCATCTACATTGACCAAACCTACCTTAATTTTTCTACCCTTGATTTTGAATCGTTTGGAAATGGCAACGAACCAGTCCGCATTCTCAGTTTTGTTCTTGATAACCTGTTCGTGTCGAATGGTAGCTGAATTATTCGACTCGGTGGGACGAAAACTATACGAGACCATTAGGCATAGGAAGAATAGAGAGAGCATAATTAGATAGAGAACCAAGGGGACTACTCGTTGTTTGGAATAGGAGGAGGAGGCGGAGGAAGAAAACTTGGAAGCCATGTTCACATAATCTGGTGAAGGATAAAGCATTTGTATTTGGTGTTGTATGAGGGGGGAGAGAGAGAGAGAGAGAGAGAGAGAGAGAGGTTTGAAGGGCTATTTGACGTATATGGAAAAAGGGTTTTATTAGGAAGGTTTGCATGGCTGGACGTTGGAGAAGATATATTTGCTTATATATATGATTTCATCCCCACGCGCGTATGGAGAGCTTTTTAAAACGTTGTTTAAATTTGTATTCTTTGAAAAGATATATGCTTACAACGACATAGATAACGAGTTTGATGCTTAATAAATTCCGTCATAATTATTATTATTGAAAGTGAGAGAGCTTAAAGAAAAATAATCATGGGAGGAGAGAAGAAGATTTGACTCTTAAGTGAATATTTTTCGACATAAATGTACATTTAATTTTTTAAAAGATCGTAAAGAAAACAACGATACATGAAGTGACAACGGCAAGCTTATTAAAAATCTGTTTCCGTTGGAACAGTGATGGAATTTATATTTTTTAATACATATATGTGCACAATAATATTACGGTGCTGAAAAAATATTATTAGTACCACATTTACTTAATTTTCAAGTAATTAAAACTATTACCTTAATCACGTAGATTACCTTGATCCAAAAAAAGAAAAAAAATTACCAAAATTGGCATCCAACTTATTGCTAAAAAAAATTAGATTAAACACCGACTACCAATGCATGCATTATCCGCTCAAAAGAATTGTGTTATTTAATTATGTCATGTATTATGCATCTTATTATTAAAATTCATTTGAGGACATATTTCGATTAAAAAAAGTATTGTGAGGGACTTTTCTCCCTAAAATAAAACTCCTAATGAATTTTATGTTATATTTCTTCAATTATTATTTTATATATCAGCTACGCTTTAAAGGATTTTTAAGAAAAAAAAAATTTATCTTATTTATTTAGCAAGGTGGTTACGTACACTGAACCGAGTTGAAATTAGAAGATTATATTATTTTCTGAAGTTATTATTTCATACAGCATTGATTTATCCAAGTTTGAGAAGTGATTTCTGCGCATTCCGTTTGTTCCTGTACATATTCTAATTTATTTTTAGCTTACAGATTGAATGAATCAACAAATCAAAAGATATACATTAAACCAACTAAAGAGCACAAAATGTTTTCAATTTTTTGCCCTTTACTCTCTCTTTCCTCTTGACACAACATTTTCTCCCTTACCCCAATATGAATCCTCTCTACACATTGTGACTAACAATTTGTGCACCTCGCGCCAATCCCTTGCAACGCAAGCTAACAACCCAAACAATTCCCGATGATCAAAAGAATGGCAATTGTTAGTTGTTAATTACAAGGGTTTAATCTCGAAATAAAAAAATTACAAGAGTTTATGAAGCAGTAATACAACTAGCGGTCGCAACGGATAAACTCAACGGGAACTTCATCCTTAATTGTTTAACCGGAGGCATTCCTCCTCGCAGCATAGACTCGGTGAGCCGCCACTCCAACCATGGCCACTGCGGCTCCCACTGCGAAGAGAAGACACAAACTCCGTAAATCACACAGCACAAATCATAGCCGCGTCTTTCGTTGTTTATTTCTAAAATTTAATTCGAATACGTGCATTTCTAACATAATCTGCTCTCCTAAAAGTGAGTACGTTAGCTTTAGACATGCATCCACCGGGCATGGAACCCCAGATGTGCTATTAGGCCCACATATCTTTAGTAACTTCAGTTTGACATCAAGCAGGGCGAGAACTGTATAAACTTATAAAGACACCATTAAAATTCAAAAGATCATCATACCTGAAATAAACATTAGAGATCGGTTAAGGATCTTATGGTATTGCTTGCGGGTCCTTCCAGCCTCAGTCTCGGGAATGCTCAGGTGAGGGTGCTCCGCGGCAGTTACAATTTTACGAAATACATTGTTGAAATCACCCAACTTTGCGCTGATAGGTATAGGAGCCTCTGTTCCCATATCCTGGCTAACCTGCACGAGTACATAAAAAATTGGCCATCCAAAGAATGAATGCCAAGCTCATAACAACCAGGACTACTTTCAAACACCACACCCAATAACCCACACAAGCTTCACTTAACTCGGCCAAAGAAAGAAATGCTGTCAAAATTGTAAAATGTGTCTTGCATTGAATACCAATGAAATAAACTTCAAAAAGTTTTCAACTATTTTGATTAACCCCGCACGGGAAGAGAAAGAGAGAGAACAATTAAACCGTTTACACACTGATTAAACCGTTTACACACTGAGCATACTACAAATAAAGGGCAAACATAAATCTAAAGGCACAACAATACTGATAACGTATTAGAATACAGAAAATAGTTGGTCCACATCTTAAAAGTTCAAACTTTCAGGAATAGTTGTAACCAGAACTAATAATTGATCAGGTAATTCATTTTACTTACAAAAAGATAAGCAAAGAAAAAAATGGTCAATGTATAAATAGACATACCCTCGTAGAATGTTGAATGGCCGATGGGAATGCATCCAGATCATCTTTAGCTGCAACAATGAGGCAAGGTACCTCAAAGCCAGTAGTCTCACCATGACTAGCAACTTCTACCAGCAACTCAGTTGCTCTCTTCCAGGATGACTCATCAGAACTAACAAGGAAAAAGACACCAAATATTAAAGAGGTATAAATAACAGTAAAATATTAGGTAAAGAAATGTACTCATGTCAAAGGATGCTCTGAGTCAACCTAAAATTGATTGTCAACTACAGGCAGCAGTTACAGAGAAAGGTAAATAAACATGTCCGTGTATAATTCCCAAATATAAGTCATTGTCAACAATCTACTTTTCTGTTTTTACGTTTGTTGACAACAAGGTGCTTTTGCCATCCTGGAAACTTACACGAATATCTGTAAACTTGGATCTTTTTCCATTTCACATGTTTATGTCTAACGATAAATTTTCCAGCAATTTAAATATCAGAAATTTACCTTTTGTATTATAGATTATGGCTTCACAAATAAAAACCAAATAGGAAAAGACAAATCCCATGAAATTTTCAAATCAGGAAACAGAAACTTGGACCTTACAAATGAGAAGAGAAACAACGACCTAAATTGTACTAGCATGGTAGATAACAGAAGAGTAACATGATTTCACAAATATTAAATACCCATTTTAGGCTTCTGCTTACCTGTCGTGAACAAACACAGCTATGTCACACGCAGCCAAAGCCTCTTTATTTCTGAGAAATTTCTCAACTCCATCTTCAGGAATTTCTCTCATTACTAGGGTTTTCTTGGGTCCCTGTGTATATACTAAAAAGTCAGACAAACCACTGAAAGGACTAATAATAGACCTCACACAAAATTTAGCTCATCAGTCAAACTATAGTTGAAAGCATACAGAATTACTTAGTAGTAAAAAATTGGGGTAAATAGCATGCATTTAACAAAATTTGGCGATGAGGTAATACTTTAATAACCTAGCCAGTGTAAGTTTATTCCATGTAATGGTCCAGACACAAGGCGCTTCATGTAGTATTACTTACCCCAGGTTGATCAACAACATTAACCGCATAACGCTCCTCAGTGGTTGGATTATAAGTTTCAGAAAATGGCCTGCAGTTCCAGTTATTGTAAAAAAAATTTGCATAATTTAATTCACAAAATCAAAGTCAACTGGAGAAACCATCTGAATCAGACCTTCCAAGAAAAGAATCCAATAATGCAGACTTCCCAGCCTTCTTTGGACCAAAGACAAAGCATTGGAAAACATTTCTTTCCGATTGCTGCTTCTTGCGATCTACACGCCTCTTCCTAGTCACACGGATTGCAGATGAAACCTCACCAGGATAACCAATGTATATCAGATTCTCCATAGTAGAAGCTGGGTTTAAGAGTGTCATGAGGGCCCACTGAAAATATGCATATTTGTCATAAAGTTAGTTGTGAACATAAAAGAATAATTCTTCTCAAAAAAAAAAAACATAAAAGAATAACAACTGTTTGTAATGCATGTAATAAAGTGCCAACATGACTATGAATGTCTATGCAAGTAAAAATCCATACAAACATATAAATTGAGAGTTGAATGACAAATATTTAACGTGAATCAAGAACAATGAGCATAATCCTCCCCTGCCCCAACACAGGGAGAGAGAGAGAGAGAGAGAAATAGGCATATATTACCTGTGAAAAAAATCCATCAAGTGATAACCCTCCAAATGCAGCATCCTTAGATGGAAATTCACTAAACGGGCTGAAATTTCAAACGCCAAAAATCAAAACATGCCAAGATCTTCAAAACTAGGGATTATAATAAACTAGATTGAGAAAGTTGATACTATTTCAAGCTCTGAACATCATTATGAACTATGAAGCTTCTACTGACCAAACTTTTAACTGAAAACCAACATTTAGGCAAACTTTTGAGTTTCTATTTTCTAATATCATGAGCTTTAACGCTCTTACATCAGAACAACATATGAACAAAAACCATGGGTGACACAACTGCAAACATTATCTCTCATGGTAAAGAAACAAACTAGTTGCAATGAACTAAAAAAAATGGAAACAGAAATGATTCTAATAAATAAAAATTACCTTGCTGGAGCAGTAGAAAATAGTTCTCCAAGTTCACGTGGTCGGAGGGCCCCATCCTGGTGAAAAGAACATATAGGTTCATGATTATAAGAACTAGGAGAACAACTAAGGCACCTAAGAGGTTGCAAGGTTAGGTCACGGTGAAGATCTTTTTTTTCAGAGACTTTTATATAAAGTGAATCACAATGAAGATCCTTGATGACACAAAATATTGAAAACTAATCAACAATGTAATAGAGAATGTAGCATTTAAGAAGGATGAGTACTAATACATACACCATCACCGCCAAACAAGTCAAAGTTAGCCTTCAGAAACTCAATTGCCTCATTTGTCAGCTCCACACTCTGCCCACATGACAACCAAGTACATCAACATGAAACATCTACAGAAAATCTAAAAGGAAACTAAAAACTTGTAGCACATACTTAGAACAATGGATATAATTCACAAAATAATCTCACAAAGATCACTTTAAGTAGCACGATTATGGAAAATCAAATATAGGGCTC